GGGGGTCGGTTCTGCACCCGCTTGAGAAGGGCGAGGGGAGCAGTGCGGGGGGGCTGGGGTTGGGACCGGGACCCGGGCGGCCGCGCTCCCGTCCGCCAGGCCCTGCTGGGACGTGACCCAGGTGGTCGGGCTCCCCGCTCCCCTGCTGTAACTCAACAGACTCCCGGCATCCTGATCTGCCCCCCGCCCCTTATTGCTGATTCCAAGCCACAATCCCCCTCCCGGCTCTTCTGGGGTGGGAGGGATCCTGCCCCGCGGTCTCTGCCCCCGGCTCAGCTTCTCCTTGCTCTCCTGCACCAGCTGGCGCAGCGCCCCCGGCAGGATGACGGAGTACAAGCTGGTCGTGGTGGGTGCGGGTGGCGTCGGCAAGAGCGCACTCACCATCCAGCTCATCCAGAACCACTTTGTTGACGAGTACGACCCCACCATTGAGGTGAGATGGAGCGTGGACCTCCCCTGGGGTGCTCTTCCCCTCAGAGCCAGTGCAGGCCTTGGTGCTCCTGGGCACTTGACAGATGTGCGTTCCACCCCAGAGCCAGCTGCATGTCAGCACTGGGCAGTGGAGCCCTGAATAAACAGCCCCCGATGCGCTCCACCCCAGAGGTGGCTGCATCTGAGAGCTGGATGAGGGGTTCCTGTATGATACCCCCCTCACAGAGATGAGTGCCCTTTGGCAGTGTTGTCCCCACACACACACGCACGCACCTATCCAGCTGTCTCCCATGCTTTGTAGGACTCCTACCGGAAGCAGGTGGTGATTGATGGGGAGACCTGCCTGCTGGACATCCTGGACACAGCTGGGCAGGAGGAGTACAGTGCCATGCGTGATCAGTATATGCGCACAGGCGAGGGTTTCCTCTGTGTCTTTGCCATCAACAACACCAAGTCCTTCGAAGATGTCCACCACTACAGGTGAGGGCAGGCCTCTCTCCCTAGCTACAGTCCTGGCCGTGCTGTGCTGGTAGGAGACTCTCCCCATCGCAGTCCGTTTTGAGCTTGGAAGCTGTGGTCCGGGTTGTGTCAGGCACTCAGCCTGCCATGGCAAGAGGTACAGAGCCATTTGGACGTGGGGAAGCCCAGAGCTGGGGGGGCTGAGGTTGAGTGGGAGGGTCACTAGCTGGAATGGGGGAGCAGGGAGTTGTGGATTTGGAGTGAGGGGCACCAGCAGAGCTCAAGGGAGTCTGTACCCAGCTTGGGTCCAGGATGTGTGAACACCCATATCCTCAGCACCAAGCACCCCTGGGGCTCGTGGCCTAGTCTTTCACCTCCAGCTGGGCTGCACAGTGGGGGCTGCATGCATCTCCCTGGACCCGAGCTGGCCGTTCCCATCTCTGGTGACCCTCCTACCCCCAGGGAGCAGATCAACCGGGTGAAGGATTCGGATGATGTCCCGATGGTGCTGGTGGGTAACAAATGTGACCTGCCCTCCCGGACGGTGGATACCAAGCAGGCTCAGGAGCTGGCAAAGAGCTACGGCATCCCCTTTATTGAGACCTCAGCCAAAACGAGACAGGTACAAGGAGGGGGCATGGGCACAGCAGCCTGGTCTTTTCATTGCAGCTGCTAGGCCGGTTTGATTGAGATTGCGGGGGAGGGCATGAGGATGGTTTTAAGTGTAACCTGTTGAACTTTCAGTGAAAATTCTTGCTGTTCCCTGAAGTTTTATTTGCAGATTTCTGGGGCATGGCCCTGCTCTAGTTCCCTGGTTGGATCTCATGCCAGTTCCATGAGATTAAGGAAGAAAGGGCAGCCAGTTCCCAAGTGCTTTGAGGGAGCTGTTTTCCTTGTGATGGGTACAGCAGGCCTAAGGAACTCACTGCTGTACATGTTCCATAAGGAACAAGGCTGTAAGCCAGGGGTGGGCAAAATGCGGCCCGCAGGCTAGATCCAGCCCGCCAAGCCATTTTATCCAGCCCGCAGGGCCCCTAAAAAATTTAGAAAATTAATATTAATCTCTCCGGGGCTGCCTGCCTGTCATGCGGCCCTCGATGGCTTGCCAAAATTCAGTAAGCGGCCCTCCACCCAAAATAATTGCCCGCCCCTGCTGTAAGCACAGCCAGATTCCTCCAAATGACTGAGTGTTCATGAGGGTAGCACAGGTGTCGGCACACCTGTTTTGCAAAGTGTAACAAACACCACACTTGTCAGGGCTGAAACCAAGCTCAGTCTGAAAAATTCTGTCCTGGATCTGCTTGTAGGGTTCTTCTGGGTCAGATGTATGAGGTCCTAAGTGCTGACTCCTATGTTGGATACTGTATTGGATGCTGAACTACACGTTAGTTCTGAATTGGGCTAGTTGTTCCTTTGGGTTCTGGAAACCTCGAGGCCTGTTCCCCACACTAGGGCAGTGAGCTTATGTAGAAATCACCTGCACTAATTGTAGGGTTTCTCTTTTCTCTGTTCCGGTGGCTGCATTGCACAAGGGGGTGGAAGATGCTTTCTATACCCTGGTGCGGGAGATTCGGAAACACAAGGAGAAGATCAGCAATGGGCGCAAGAAGAAGTGTTCCAAGAAGAAGTGTGTGATCCTTTGAAAGAGATGCATGTGCTGGTGTGGGAGAGGAGAGGACGTCCCCTGTCCCCTCCTCTCTTGGGTCCCCTTGGCATACAAATGATGGCAGCGGAGATGGTGGGTTGAGTTTGGAGCAGCTGGACAGAGAACGCAGCAGAGACTAGGCACATGACTGTTTGCTTTGTGTTGTGGCTCCATTCACCCTGTGCCCCAAAACTCCAACTCACAGCAAGTTTAAGAACTTGGAAATGTCTCCCTACTTTGCCTGGCACCTGAGGTTGGGTTGAATCCTACCTGGCCCAGAAACTCCAATCCACTTTGCTGACCTGTCTGACATGCGAAGGAGGCACTGCCTAGAACAGCTCCAGACAGAAAACCAGGCAGTGACATCTGATGGGTCCAAGGACTGTAATTTGTCCTTGCCTGCTCATAATCCACTTGGACACAGATGACATGCTTCTGGCATAGTAGACTCTCTCACTCCCGCTCTTTATCCTGTTTAATAGCCCTCCCTGAACTCTGTGGTCCCCTTTGGGTAGATAAGTTCTGTCAGATTCCTCTATCTGGAGCTGGGGAAGCAGGTTTTGGGTGGGCTTTTTAAGGTTTCAAGAGGAAGCACTTATTGTGCTTGGCATGCTTTTTGCTGCCCCCATCGATCAGGGGAAGGCAGGGAGTTGGCCCTTTGGTTGCCTGCATACTAAATTGTTATCCAAAGTGAGCAGAGATGTTTTTTGTAAAGGGCAGTTACTACCCAGAAGGGCATTGTCTTGTCTTGTGTTGACAGCCTCTTCCATTGGCAAGGGGTTTCTCTGCAGGGAACTGCATGGCCTTTAGAAAGAGAGGCAAAATCCCTCTTCATGAGCAGGGTGGAAGGTTAGAGTCCTCCTCTCTACTCCTGTCAGAGCATATGGGCTCTTCCTAGGGAGAAATCGGCTCACATCTCGAGAGGAGGAGGTCCTGTTGAATTTGGAAATGGCGTAGCGGTGCAGGAGATCTGGTTCCAGGTCTCCCTTATCCTCTCTTGACGTTGAGATCCACATCGCCTGAAACAACATTTCTGTCCTGCTGTCCCAGGTGAGATCCTCAAATAAACCTGTGAAGAAGTTAACCCCAGCCACGCCACCATCTGGTCCGTCTGCGCCTTCCAAACCTGTGTGCCTTGAGCTGCAGAATCCACTGTGTGTGGGATACACCTGTGCTGCAGTGGCTTGGCTTGATTCGTTGTGGGGAGAGGGCAGGGGCAGGTGAAACCAGTAGTTCAAACCCTGCCTTGGGGTCCTCAAGAAGGTGCATTATCCACAGTTCTGGGTGGTAGAGTTCTTGGGGTGGAGGAAGTGAAGGATGTACAGGTAAGTAACCCCAGATTCCCTTGCTGTGGCATGCATTGTCCTGTCGGCCTCTGTTCTAGATAGAGCTGTTTCAGTGGTTAGCAATGGGGGTATGTAGTTGATGGCCTCTAGTAACCAAAGACCACCAGGTCCTGAACTAAGTCCAATCTTGTTACTGCAGAGAACTGCTTCCCATTGTCCCAGCTGCAAATTTACTGTGCTCCATCCTAAAAACAAATTCTGTTCCTGTCACCGCTGCTCACTGGGGGGAAGCTGTTCCAGGCCATCACTCAAATTCACAGAAGTTTAGGCCTGGAAGGGACTTCATGAGATCATCAGGTCTGGCCCCCTGTGCTCTGGGCAGGAAAGACTGCTGGGGTCAAATAACCCCAGCAAGGTGTGCATCCAGTTTCCTTTTGAAGATCAGGGTAGGTGGCAGTACCACCCCTGCTGGGAATCTATTCCAGAGTCTGATGTATTAAAAACCTTCTTTCAAGATGTACTTTCAGTTTATTCACAGCCAGTTTAGATCCATTCGTTCCTGCAGCGATGTCCTCGGTCATTGTAGAAATGGTGGTTTGGAAGGGACTTCAGGGGTTGTCTTGTCTGGTCCCCAGCAGAGATGTAAGATTTGCTGCTCCACCCTGGACAGTTGCCTCCCCAGCTTCTTTGAGGAAACCTCTTGGGATGGAGATTTCAACGGCTTCCACCTTCCCTGGGTTCCAATAGATCCTCTGCCTCTCTCCCCTCTTCCCCACTTGTTTTGTAGAGTGATTTTTGTTATTTTTGTCTCTGTCCCATCTAGTTTTGCTGCGAGGCTAAATGCACAGTCCCTATTTTACAGACAGGGATAATGAAGCACAGAGTGGGCCATGGATCTTCTCATGGTCGGAGCCAGAGATGTGCCTTGTTTCCTAGCACTAGATCCCAGCATGAGGTTGATTCACATACCCAAGTGATGCCTTCCTTGGTTCTTAAAAGAACCAGGCTTCTTACTAATAAGGAAGTCTGTGGGGAGCTACCATACATTATAGGGGGAGTGGTGTGCATATTAAATCATCTGGTGAAACATTAACAGGTGAGGCCTGTGGGAGAGGTGTGACAGGTGCAATCACTTCTCACTGTGCATCGCTTTGCTTTGCAGCCCCCAATGCGTTTTGGGGCCTTCATAGCTGGTTTTTAACACTAATTTTGGTGTTTGGAGGTTCAGCGTCTTAGAAGCTAGGAACTTTTGTGCTCTACAGCTGGCTTTTGAACCACCCAAGAGCTGCCATGAGGGGTCTGCAGCAAGCAGGCCATGAGAATGGGGCATTTAAATTTGTTGTTGCCTGTTTGATAGACCAGTCTCTAGGGGAGAGGAGTAGCTGGCTGAGAGGGAGTCTTACTGCTGAAAAGGGGTCAGATTCTCTTTTGGGGATAGGTTAGTTTTCAGCTCCCTGTATTCACTTCTGGTTGGTTCCTAGGATCTGGTAAAACAGCCTTATATCTACTATATATTATTCTGCTGCAGACACTTTAGAGTTGTTGGATTTGCAATTTGGGATCTGCAGAGGCCTGTGGGAGTGGGGGCGGGGGGCCTGGTCTGAGACAATAGAGGAGAGACTGAGCCCTTGCCTAGGTAGTCTCAGGCAGACCCTGCTTTGAATGCATTTTCGCATTTATTATGTTTGTAAGTAAGTCTGGGTGCTCCTGGTGTCTGCCCCAGCTTTCCTGCTTCTGTCTGGGGAAGGATCATGTTGGTGGGGGTCCCAGGTACCGCAGCTGGAGGTACGGCCATGCTGCCCCTCTGGGCATGGTCCAGGCAAGGTGCTGCCTGTATGGTGGCCCAAGGCAGAACAGCACTGGCAGCAGAAAGAGGATGGAGAGCAGGCCCAAAAGCAGGCATCTGTGGGGAAGATGGGCCCATGGGTGAACTAGCAGGGCACCCAGGGCAGAGAGAAGCCTGTGTAAAGAGAAACATGGACTGCTGTTAGAAGAGGATCCAGTGCTTCTCTGTTCCTTCTGTGAGCTGCTTTGAGTCTTTTTACACACATTCAGGAAAATACCCCTGAGGAAAAAGCAACCAACAAGTCTGCTTGTAAGCCTTTTGAAAGGTGAGCTCACATGAGCTAAGCCAGGGCTCAGAATCTCCCCCTCTGCCGTTCCCTTCTGATCAGCTCTGCAGCAAGGTCAATTTAAACACTGTTTCTGGGATGTGTTTGCCTGTGCTGCAGTTAGAGGTGTTGCAGCCAGCTTGGGTACCAACAGCAGTAGTGTGGGACAGCAGGCCTGATCATGATCACACAGCTGGTGTCCCTGGTGGACTCATGCAGTCTGTATTGCCACATCTGCTGCTGGTACTCAAGCAAATGTTCATAGGGCTCACTATGCAGCAGCCCCACTTCCTGGACTGTGCAGCTGGACCAAGCTAGGTTTGCCTTTGGCTCAGCAGAAGGGGGTATTCATTTATTTTTATTCTTTTATTCAGGCTTGACTTAAATCCTTTGTAAACTATCTTAGTTTGCTTTAAACCAGGCTTACATCTGTGTGACCTAAAGTTGTTTTTAAGAGCTAGTGTGACATAAACACATCCTGGCTTTGGACTGCATCTGTTTATATTAGGCTGATTTAGGAATTGCACCTTGAAATCAGCATGACTTTTTCCCTCATGTTGATCAGCCCCTGGGCCCGAGTTGGTTTTACATGGCCAAATTCACCAGACTTGCTTGTACCACTCTTAGAAATCTCTGCCACCAACTACATGGAGTTCTGCTGAGTGACCACAGGAGGTGCACAGGCAAGTGGAAGTGGGACAAGTTTGCAGGTTTGTGACCAGACAAAACTCTAGATGGGCATCTCACCATAGAGCTAATACTCCCAACCAGCAGTTCCATGGCTCTGTCTGTCTGCTGGGACCAAGTAGATTCTGTACTCGTGCATAGTTCTCTAGGGCTGTTCCAGGCTTACTGGAAGAGATATGTGAGGATTTGACTGCTGGTTATGTTGCAGCAGTGCTGAATATTCAAACAAGCTCTGTGCAAGGGAGCACTAGAGGCTGCATACTGTTGAGGGGAAGGGGACAGGTTGGGTCTAGTTGGGAGGGTGAGGGACATCTGCACTGAAGGGACCTGGAAATGCTTTGCTGTCTCAGAGACCCATGTCACTTTCACTGCCTCTGAATCCTGAGGGTCTGAGCCAGATCCATGGAGGTCAGTGGCCATATGGTTATGCTGGCTGGGGTATGTCTGCTCTCAACTGTAGTTAAAAGCTGTGAAGATAATCTTGACCTCTTTTAATGGTGGGTGAGGTGATGGTAAATGCCTTACTGAGGCAGCAGTGGCAAGTCAAAGGTGTGCTTACCTCTCAACTGGCCTGGACACAATGGTTTCAGCATGCCCAACTTCCTGACAGTTGCTGTTTACCACCTTAAAAGAAACAACAAAGTGCAGTGAGGACCAGTGAAGGATAGTTGTTTGTGTGCTTCTGTTCTTGCTTGTGGACAACAGTGGAAGAACAAGGATGCGCTTAAATCACTAGGTGTTCTCGAACTCAACTCAGTAGGGGTTGGGGAGGAGCCTGGCTGTTTTCAGCAGAAAGCTGCCAACTTGCTTCTGGTTGGCAAAGCTTTTCCAGACAATTAATTTAGACCTGAAGTAAAAAGGGAATACATGTTTTCCCACTGGAAGTGGGAGGGGCTTGTGGGACTGAGTGTCCCAAGATCTGATGGAAGCAGAGCAGGTTTTTTTTTTTAAGAGACTGGGCATTTATGTGGATAAATAGGAGCATCCCATGTCCTAAGAGGATTGTGAAAATGGTGTAAGCTTGTTTCCCTGTCAGTGTAATAACTGAGCACCTAGCAGTCCCCTTGTGGCAAGGAAGGGCTGCTATTCCCCCCACACAGTGGAGGAATGGAGGCCCAGAAAGACTTGAAGCATCAGAGGAAGTCTGTGGTGTAGTAGAGATTTGAATCCAGTTCTTCTTTGTCCTAGGAGAGGGCTCTTAAGTGCTCAGTAACCCCCATAGCTAGTTTGGAATGAATAGAAGCTTTCAGCAGTACAGCAGATTTCTAATGAACAGGGACACTAGGGTTTCTGTCTGGTGTTAAAGGCAAGATGCTGTGGCGTTTTTGGTGCTGTTTGGGCTGATGAGTCTGGACCATGCCTGTTTCAGTTGTCTACTTTCCACTGGGAAGGAGGGCATGCATCAGCTGCCCCCAGTTCAAAGTTTGCCGCTTACTTTGTTAAAGCCCTGTTCAACTGCTGATCTCTAAATCAGCTCAGAGTTCTCTCTCACCCTTATCCTTATCTGTAAGGTATGGAATCGCTGCATCCACTCTAGAAGTGGTGAAATGGGTACAGAGAAGTGGCTTGTATGTGAATCCAGTGAATTGGCATCAAACTGAGGAGTCCTGAACTGTGTGTGTGGCACACAGCAGACCAGGGAGGGAATAGCAGATAGGGAAGGGGGCAAAAAAGAGAGCAGCAGAGTGGGCAAGGGAAGGGGATTGAAGTGGCACTTGAAGAGGGTGCAGAGCTAATTTGTGACACGCCTGCCAAAAAGGTTGGCCTCCATTGGAGTAAGCTATGCTGGGGAGTTACCCAACCAAAAAAAGCAAGTTTTAATGCAAGGAGCTTTAAAAACATCTCCTTTCCAAATGTGAGAGAAAGTGGTCTGTTGGTAACATCAGTTTCTTCTTACAGGGAAAATGTGTGTTGGTGGGGTGCGGAGGGGGGCTGCATCCCATCTCATAATGGGGGCTGTTAAGATAAACAGGTGCCTTACGGTAAATGCTCAGCACAGACAGTACTTGAGAGGCAGACACACACATTACTAGAGGCCCTGCATTTTTTCTTCCTCCACTAGAGAACAATTTTCTCTTGATAAGGTACAAGGATCCTCTCAGCCCATTTAGAGCCTTCATGGGCTGGTGGGAAGAAGCTTTTATCAGGGAAGGGGTAATGGGCAAGCACAATAGAGGGAATTAGCCCACTGAGGGGGGACAGCAAGATTTGGTGGTGGGTAGATAAGGGCCAGTTAAAAATCGAGAAGCTCCTTAACTTAATTACTATCTGCTGCTCACATGAGCATCCTCACCCTGGCCCACCTTGTCATGTGATGTCTTGCACAGTCATGGCAGACTTTAGGTACTTGCATTAACATTGACGTGGAGTTCAGGCAAAAGGCTTTGTATCATTTGGAAGCA